ATAAGGTGACGATGTGACGAATAAAGGAACAAGAGGAGAATTAATAGTATGGTTTCATTTTGACTAATAAGTAAAAGTCTAATTGGCATGATGGGGCCATAGGAATGTGAGGACAAAGATTGAGAGCAGCAAAGGACAGAACCAGGACTGTTGAAGTACATGAAATGCATCAATAATACGTTAGCACCTCTGATAAACCAAACTCAGTGGGCCACTCAGGAAGAAGACAGGGAAGCAGGCAGGGAACTCCAGGTGGGAGGAGGATGAGAAAAGGGAATTGGGGAGGGCAGATGGGATGAGCACGACTGAAATTCATTATGTAAATGTATGAAACTATCAAATAATAAAAACTATCTTTTTCTTTGAGACATTTAAAACGAATTTTGACTAAAGAAGACTAAAATTCAAATTCAAATTCTGACCCCGTAGTAATCATAGGAAATCTACGGAAAAGAAACTCAAAGTTTCAAAAGTGGGGATTCTATAAATGTTTGCTGGTCTTCTGGTCCCTGTACACAGCAGAACAGGCAGTTTCTAGCATCCAGAAAATGACAAGAAACAAATAAGCAAAGTTCCAGGATGTCTTCGGTCAGAACGGAATCTGAAAGGTGGAAGAGAAGGGTTTTAAACACTCAGAGCACGTGCTGAAACAGATTAGGTGGGGGAGTTAGGCTGAAGGGGACTCCTGCACATCAGGGGTTCCCTTCCAGACCCCAGGCACAAGCCACAGCAAGCACCTGCTTTCACAGAGAGATGAGGGGAGAAGGTGAAGGGGACAGGGCAGGGGTGTTTGTCCCAGAGTGGCATACAGGCAAACGATGGCTTATAAAGGTAAAAGGGGAAACCCGGTGTTAGGATGAGGCATTTAATTTTAATTGGACATGTTAATTAGGTGAGCCAAGGGGGGCGTCTGATTGCTAGCCTTTACTATTCAGCCTCAGGAGAAGGAAGTGGCCAAATAAGAGACTAGACCTCGGTGGCTGGCTTTAGGAATATAATCGAGCAGTTTTGTTTTGTTTTTAAGCAAGGCAGAGGGAATGGGGAGAAGGGCAAGGCCTGCCAGAGCCACATGCTCTAGTGGGCTAGTGTCCCCTCACAGGCTGCTACACATTCACAGACCACATGTGGAAGCATCATAAGGGGGAAGAGTTAGGTAAGGTGGTACACCCTTCTGCATGCTGCAAATACGTGTTGCTTTTGTTGGTTAATAAATAAAGCTGATTTTGCCATTGGCCAGGCAGGAAATCCACACAAAGATACTGAGAGAAAGAAGGTGGCGTCAGGGAGACACCATGCAGCTGCTCTAGAAGCAAGATGTAGGGTAACAAGCCACGAGCCTCATGGTGAAATATACAATAAACATGGGCCAATTTAATTGTGAGAGCTGGTCAGTAATATGCCAGAGCTATTGGCCAAACAATGATAATTAATATTAAACCTATGAGTGTCACTTTGGGAACTGGCAACTGGGAGAGAAACTACCATTTACAGTTAGGCTGTTGTACACTCACAGAACACAGTTGGAAACACGGCAAGGTCATCATTTGCCTTATGAAGGAAGAGGTGGCTCACTAACACTGAGAATTTGTGAAGAGCAAGCTAGAAAGTGTGTGTGTGTGTGTGTGTGTGTGTGTGTGTGTGCTCATGACTGTCTCTGTGCATGTGTGTGAGTGTGCATGTGTGTGCACAATATCAGAGGACAATGTGAAGTCAGTTTAACACATTGGATCTGGCAATGACTTGACTCGTGTCAGAAGGCTTGGAGGCAATTTCCTTCACCAGTAGAGCCATTTCAGTGGTTCCTAAGCTAATTTTGTGATGAAATGGTTTTTGTTTTTTGAATTTTTGAATAAATGAAATCCATCTTGACTCTGGCAAGGCAACTGAGCATGGATTTCACTACAGCATGGGGAACAACATTGATGGATGTGGCTTTTCTTGACTGGCTTGTCACCAATTTTATTTGTGGTTGTTTTCTAAAGACATTCTATTCTGTTATTTGTCCCTTTTTTGGTAGTGCCAAAATCTGGAGGCAATGTGTTCTGGGTGGTAGTTTGTTTGTTTCTTTGGTCCTATGGTTTGAAGAAGCTAGACAGGCCATGCGTTTGTATGGAGTTACAAGTTCAGTGACAGGCTCAGTAACACAGCTTGTCACATGATCATAATGCCTCAGGATCTTCCTCCAGAGGTCGTGGAGCCTCCTTTTTAGTGTAGGAATAATTAATGCACTGGATAAGTTCACACGTGAGCACTGTCTGGATTTTTATGTATAACCACAGGGCTTTAGCTAAGCTTTCCTCAAAAGTCCAAGTTAACTGACTCAGTTTCGTAGGACTGAATTGTTCCAGCCACCATTTAAACTGGCCACCTGCCTGGTTCTCTGTGAGAACAGGGATCCCAAGCTCGCTAGTCTCTGGGTACATTTCTTCTGCCCAGGCCAGCTTCTTCCTTATGATCTCCAGTCTTCTCTATGTGCCAATAACCCCCAGCCACAGACACATTTCCTCCAAAGGTTCAGTCAGGACAGATGAGGGGTCCTATAATAAAGAGCAAGAGTTCTTGCTGTATTCCTGTGTAGTTTCCAGTAAGCCTGAAAATGATCTTAAAAATAAAGCCACGCCCAACTTGAAAAATGAAAAGCTCATCTTACCGAGCTTTATCTGTAGGTTATATATTTGTAATTCTTCATCTTTTTTCCTTTTGAATAACCAAGAAAAGTAAATAATCTCTGTTAAAAAATAAAAGTATTTTTAACACCAAAAAATAAAAGTTTAGTTAAAACATAGAACAACTGTATGCACAAAAGTGTCAGCCTTCAACAGGACTGTGTAAGCCCTGGAATGTGCGATGTGTCACTATGTCTTGGTCACTCATTTCCAGAAGGAATGAAAGGAAGGCTCTTGGACATGGGAGAGCAGTGGGCAGAGGGAGATATCTATGTCAGGAACTACTTTCAGCATTTCCCCTCCATAGCCCAGACATCCTCTGCTGTCTACTCTCCATCATCAATATCCTGTCATTCCACTTGGATCCTTACATTGATGCCTGGAGTAGAGCTTTTCTAGAATGAATTACATTCTTAAGCACCCAAGGATACTGGGATTATGGAGTGACCACTCTCTCAGAAGCCCTCAGGTTGGGCAAGATAGCCAGGTAGTCATGAGAGAGATGACATGCTGTATGGATCAACTTTGTGGGTTCGGGGCCCTTTCAGCTCCCAGTTAGTGCACCACTAGAATCAGGTATTGCACATTTGATGAATCTTTCTTCCAGGATGTTTAAAATATCCCCCTTCCAAAAGCCAAGGCTTATGCCCCAGAGAAGCTCAGCACAAGGACATGGGGAATTGCAATCCTGTGAGAGTCACAGGGAGGCTCCAAGATGCCTTTGTTCCCTTAAGAATACTCAGGATATTAGGTGGTTACACCCTGTCCCCACCCCACGGTGACATACTAGTTGGAAGGATTCGTACACTCTGACTTGAAAGAACCATAGGCTGTCTAAGTAGTTTCTTGTCCATTTGTGTAGAGCAATAATTTATGTTACAGGAGACACAAGGGCCATTTTCCTTCCTCTGTTGGGGATTTCCCTTAGGAGACGAATGGTCAAGTTAAGGCTGCTTAAACAATGTCGGTGGAACAGCATACTTTCCATTCACTGATGGAAGCATTCTGGTTTACAAATGCTCCTCAGCTGTGTTCGGTAATTTACCATCCACACATCTGTGTAGAACAGCGAGAGCATTTGAGTTTAAGATCAGAAGGTTAATAATAAAACATTTAAATGACACCATTCACGTAAATTGGGACGCCACCTTAATGTTAAATCAAAAGATGGATGAGTAATTTGCAAGTAGTTCTTCTAAATATAATTTCAAGATATGGGGAAAATGTATGAAGAGCATATAGTAAAGAGAAAATGATGGATTTTCTGGACTTGTAAATTATCTTTATATTAATTTTTTCAAATGACATTATTCAAAATTCACTGATATTCTACTATCTATTATTTTTAGGCTCCTTATTCAGTTTTATGGCTTTTATAGCTCTCTTACTGGTTATATTATTATTTTATGGGTTAAACGTGTTTAATGGAAGCTTGGTTTTAATTTGCAACTAATGCATTAGTTAAAATTCTTTTGGAACTTCTGTTCTCTGGCCACAGGCACCTATGGGGTTTCATCATGTCTTAGAGTGTGCATAATGATTTGCTGGACTACGCTGCTCTCAGTTGGGACAAAGAGCCTTTTTGTTGAAATCTAATGGTGGAACTTTATTTCCACACTACAAATCAGACCACATGATCGCAAATATCTTGAAGTCTCTCCAAGGATGTTATTATACCTAACAAAATATGAACCGTGATTGACAAAGAGTCAATGTTTTATGTTGACAGGCAGCATTTGCTAAATTGTGCAGGAGAAGTAATTTGTCAAGAGGGGAGATAGCAGGGAAAGAGGGAGTCACAGATGGAGAAATTGTGTCAGAGGGACAAGAAATGGAGTAGATGAGGAATAAAGAGTTGAAAAGAGGGAACTGGAGCAAGAAAGGAAGGAGGAGAGATTTTGCCTATTGTTTATATTATGTTTGAGATGCCAGAAGAAAAACTGTCCTTGACAGCTGTGGATCTGTGGTCATGATTGAATAGGTAATAGAAGAGAAGAGATGTTGACAGCAAAGGATATAGTTATAGCTTTCCACTTGGCTTAGGACCATTTAGACCCATCTGGACCCAGATCATTTGGTGCTGCATTAGCACAAGCTGTGGACAATACTCCACTTTGATTTGGTGTATTCCGTGTGTAGATTATAAACTCTGATGTAGCACTATGCTCAAAGGGCCATGTAAAGTGCTTAGGCAGAACAAAGAACAGAGATTCCAAGCTCTGGTCCTTTTAGCAGGCAAATCATTAAAGGCTCTAGCCCCTAATCTATGGCTTTCTGGAAATGAGCAGGCAGTGTGCCAGCTTGAAAAGAATCTGATTCACGATCGTTATTTAAAAGTCACAGAATTGCTTGCTCAACACTACTCCTTACCAGGCTGTAGAACTTGGCTGTCCCTACCTTGTGGTATTGAATTGACTTCACCAGATCACGGACTTCAACTGGAGACGGCCCTCACTGGCTTGCAGGTATGTATTGAGAGGTAGACAAGCTACTGTAAGTAGTGATGCTCTTGGGACTAGCTGTCTGTGTGGAAGCAATAGGATACTGTAGACCTTTACTCTGCTTGGAGATTGATGGAAAGCAGGTAGGTACTCAATTGTCATCCACTCTGCTTCTTTCCAGCAGCATGGATGAACTGCTATGAGTTCTAACTTTTTCTCAAGTTGTGTTGAGATGATGAGGTCTTCAAGTTATTGGAAACCTGAATGAAACAATGGATTTCAAAAGGTCTATTACACTTAAGATCTTAAACTAATGTTTTCATATCTAACGACAGGTGATCTAGTCTGTACTGCAGAGGCCTGCTGTGCCAGATGTCATGAATACAGGGACAATGACAATCTCATTCTTCATGTACCCAGTGTCTGCCATAGAGTTGGCATTTGATAACTAATTGTTCAATAAATCAACATCAGAATTATTGTGTTATAGCAGCTTTAAAGAGATTAGAGTTTTACCTGGGATTGAGATAAAACCAAAACATATTCTTTTTAAGTTATGTGCTTGTGTGTGGGTTTGGGGATGTGAGTTCAGGTTCCTATGGAGGTCAGAGATGTTAGATTCCATGGAGCTGCACTTACAGGTAGTTACAAGCATCCTGACATGGGTAGACTGAATTTGGTCCTCTGCAAGAACAAGTTCTATTAGCCATCCATCTCTAGTTCAAAACCCATTTTACTGGAAGAAATTATTTCTTATTTGTGTGCTATACATCTAGTTAGTGTAAGGACTAGCTTCATATCCAAGGTTGTAAATACTTCACAGGCTCCAAAGTTATAATGGGCTATCATTTAAAGCAAGAATCAGCAAACTTTATAGTGCTAAATCTTGGTTTTACAGAACATGTGTTTCTTCATAATTAGCAGAGTCTGCAAGGTTAGAGCAAAGACAATATTAGGTAGTACTATGTGGATAGTACAATGTGTTGCTTTCTGATAAAACCTTATTTCTAAAAGTATGGGCAATGAGCAGTATTTGCCAGGGCCTTTAACTTGTCAATGCTGATTAAAGAATGAAGTCCTGATTTACAGTTCTGGAGCAGCATTAAGTCTATTCCTAAAGACTGGTTTCTATTTCTTTAGAGGTGAGAAGATTCACAGTCACAAGGCACTTTGTTCAAGGTCCCAGGCAGTCAAATTCAGGAAGATCTGGGTTCTGAACCCCATATGCTCTGCTCCTATGAGCCTTTATCTTTTGCCTTCTCTCTGCCTCTTTGACTGTCTCTGACTTCCACCTCTCATTCAGACCTGGACAGGTAGTGGGCACTATTTCCAGTCTTAGATGAGTCAATGTATGCTCCTAGAGAACTGAAGGGTTTTATAGGAAAGGCAATAGGTATTTTCTTTGTCTGTTTTGGTGTTGTTTGTTTTTTCTTTTATTTTGTTTCTGATACAGGGTCTCACTATGTAGCCTTAGCTGTCCTCAAACTCACAGAGATCTACCTGCTCCTGTCTCCAGAGTGCTGAGATTAAAGGTGTGCATCACTATGTTCAGCAGAACTGATATTTTAAGGGCCATTAAGTTGGTATCTCTTTTGATGTTTTTCTAAAAACATATTTTGTTTCCTTAGTACTGAGGTACAAAATTAGGTGTGAAACTTAACAACAAGGAGACTTTTACTCATGGTGTTTTTTTTTTTTTTGTCAGCTGCTGGCAAAGGCTTTGGTTGGTGAATCATTTCGGTGTCCTTGAAATTTTAATTCTAGGCAGAAAAGTCCAATTAGTCATTAAAAGGGTAATCGATTGGCTTATAACTCATGATGACTTGTAACATACCAGGGATGAAGCCATGGTCGATGAAACAGGCACCATTTTTTTATGTTGTGGTGACAGATTTATTTGTTTCTTTTTACCTTGCCTTACATAGGATGCTCAGGCTGGTTGACCTCCAAAATTCCTTATCACTTGACAATGAATATGTGTTTTCTCTAAATGCATCCACAAAGCTCTAAAAACAAGGTTATGATTAGAAAGAGGTTAAAAAGTTTAACAAGTGTTTCAATATCATCAGTTCTTCTGTTCTTGAGGTCACCAACATTAGCGACAGACTTTCTTCAGCTGCTCAGATGGGACTTTATGTGTGACATCCTCAGGATGCCTGTCACAGGAACCTCTTGACATAGCCCTTCCCTCTTTGGTGGTAATGTGTCAAGTGACTTCAGGATGCAGCTGTGCCTTGTGGATTCTGTCATCACCGTTGGAGCTGCCACTCCACCCCAAGTCTTTATATTTATTTGCAGTCATCTGTAGTCAGATTTTTTTTGTTGGATTTTCTTGGAGGTTAAACATATGCAATCCTAGATTAAAGATAATCAAATGAGATTAATCTGCTGAGGTGTCTGGAATCTCAGGGCAATATCAACAGCCAACAATAACAAAAGGGGAAGTCACAAATCCATGGGATTAGGCAAGAACCTACCCTGTTCTGAGGTTTTTAAAGAGTGACTTTTGTATAAAAAAACTTCAATGGTCAACACTCACACAAAGACCAGTGATCAATTAGCATGAGGCATTTATCAAATCACATGTTAAATTTCCCATTGTCCTACAAATTGTTACCAATGGCTAGGGGGTGTTTGGAATTGTAGAAGAAGAGGCAGATTCACATTTGATGTGATCAGGGAGTGGAGCACATTAATAGACAACTTGCTTTTTCTTGTTGCTGTTGAGACTGGAGAAAGCGTCTCACAATTTAGCCACTAATTCCAATAGATTGACAGCTTATGTTGTAAAGATAGCTGTTACTTGCTTCAGTTGTGTACTAGGTGTATAAGTAGCTTATATTCTCCAAAAGAGCAATATTAACCTAAAGCAGTTCATTTGACCCCTCCTGTATCCCCATGGCTTGTATTTGTGGCATGATAGCTCAGATAATATTGTTGTCTGACATGAAGTTAGTAAAAGAAGATATAGGAGCCCCCTACCCTCAAAAGAGAAACAAACGATAGAGGGGCCCCCATGTGTTGCTAAATCCTGTTGGTTCCCAGTGACTCTCCACAGCTCTCTTACTTGTTATAGCCTTATCTAGATGACCTCCAGAGATGGGCAGGAACTAGAAGTAATAATATCAGAACTTTCTTTTGCTCAGTTTTAAAATCCCTGTCCCCCAAGTTGTTGAATATCTTTTAATTAAATCTTCTACAGAAATTTTACTAAAGAAAAGTGGAGGTATCTGAGCCCCTGAAATTCCTTGAGTAAACATACTGTAAATAGGCAAGCAGGTCATAGCTGAGGAAGCCACAGTAGACAGTCAGCCCTTTGAATGATATTGGTGTATGTCCAACGTATTTCTGTCCCTCCTAACAATGAGTTCTCTTCTAGAAGGTTCTTTCTCTGCCTTTTTCATCCATACCCTCTCTACCAGACTCTCTTATAACCTCTATCATCTGTTGGGTATTCAGCTATTCTAGGCAGTTGTCAAATAATAGTCATCACTCCCACCTTTGCTTCACTGCAAGAAAAATGCTCCTACTTTGGAAATAGTTTAAAACACACCTTGCAAGTCTCATTTAATGAGCTTGGAAGCTATTTATAACTGAAAGTCAGATATATGACATCTAGGAAAAGGAGTATGTGGTATGAATCAGATCTCTGCTTTCTTTTACTGCGGATGTTGGGATGAAGGGTGCTGGTCAAATGTTACTTTTAGGGACTTATGAAAAGACACAATTGGAAATAGCAAAGAAAATATAAACATAACAAGCCAAATATTGAATTTAATTAAAGCATAAGGCATGGGAACTCACTTTAAGAAATATCTGCCACATTTTCATTTCCCTTCAATCAATCAATAACAATTCTACTTTAGATTTCAACATGGCACCTGGAAAAGTGCCAGAATGGGAGGGACCATACTGATATATTTCCATTCCTGACAGGGTGTGGATTGAAACTTCCCTGGCCAGGGCTCAGCAACAAATCTGAAGGCAAGAAGGTAAATGCTTGCATGCTTAATATCATTTTAAACGACGAGACTGCACTAAAAGACCATTTCAAATACTAGCAACCCAAAGGATGTAATTGAAATGGTACCATATCCTACTTTTTATTAAGTCAGATGCCCTTTAAAAAGAGCATTTTGTGTTATGATGGTTTGGATTTTTCTACAGCTATGGCAAATACTCACTAGATAGAGGAACAGCATTCTCTTCCTAGTCTCCAACTGCCCTGTCAGGGAGTTGATGTGTCTGGTTGAGTTTTTAAAAGACGTGGCTGATTCAATATTTCCACCTTCATATATTTTAGCTTATGTCCCATTTTTTAGTACATACTTCTGAAATTTAAAATAACATTATATTATAATATCTGTGTCTTAAACGATATGAATTTAAACATATTTTTGTATCATACATTGGAAACCACTTTTGGTTTCATATTTTACAACTATTTCTTTGTTTTTAGACATAATTTACTATGTACCTTGTTATTTTCTGGGTTGTATGTAGATTCCAGCAGAACAGCATCTAACTGTGTAAAGTTGGAATTTCATTATTTGTTTAGCAGATGAGAAAATTATAGAAATTATAAGACTGAGATATTTTTGGAGTATCAAGATTTTATATTCATATATGAACTATGTAAGAAAGAATAATTTTTCTAATTGAAAAAGTCCCATGTGTTTGTTTGTGATGTGTGTATGCATGGTGTGTGTGCATGTGTGTGTTATGGTGTGTGCCACGGCCATGTGTGGATGACAGATGATGGCTATGGGAATTGATTCTTTCCTTGTACCGGGGTATCAGGATCATATCATTTGGCTTGGTGACAACTCCCTTTACCCCGTGAGTCATCTTGTCAACAAGGAAAGAATAATTTTATTCAGAACATTCTGAGTTGTTAGAAACTCTATCCAGTTTAATGGTTTTGGATTTTCCATATAAAGGGAAGCATAATTGAATACAAGAGCTGTTTCTAATGTAATAGAAAATTAATCAAGGGTTGACTCTACTATACATACAGTGGGAATTAATTGACTTTTAAGGAGAAGAGGGTAGTAGAAAGTATAAGAAGGTTTTGCATGAATACAAAAGCCAGAAAGAAACAACATGGGTGAGATACATCATTTGCTGATGCCATAAGATCGTCTAAGAGGACTGGGAATACAGCATAGCCACTGAGCACATGATTGGCCCTTGGTTCTGTTTATAGCACAAAAAAGTTAAAAAAAATAAAGCAGTAAATCAGCAGGCCCCTCCCACCAAACCAAACAACAGTAAGTTTAAAAAAGGGCCTTTTGTTTTTCTGTGAGACAGAGTTTTCTCCCTGTAGCTTTGGAGGCTATCCTGGAACTCCCTTTGTAGACCAGGATGGTCTTGAACTCACAGAGATCTGCATCTGCCTCTTGAGTGCCAAGATTAAAGGTGTGCTACCACCACTTGGTTAAACGATCCTTTTCTTAACTCAAGAAAAAAAGTTAAGAACTTAAAGTACACAAAATAGATAAAATTAAGCAAGGGAGATTTAGTTTGCTATAAAGATTAGAAATTGATGTTTTAAAATTTTATTTAAGATATGACAAATTCAGTTTTGAAATGACAAAATAGCACCAACATAGTGAGAATTCTAAATAAATAAGAGTAAAAATAATACTACAATAGCAATCACAGAAAGTAAAATTAAGGATACATCATCAGCTATCAAAATATTTTAAAAGATTTTGTGAAACATATAATGTATATATAACAAAGTGTTAATATAGTCAACCAATCCATTTTATGACTTTAATAGATAAATTACAGGTGGACATGAAAAGACAATTAGCAGACAATTTCTAAATGGAGAAAACACATGGCCAAATGTTCCCACATTAGCAATTGTCAATGGAATACCAACCAAATGTAATACTATTTTTTGTATATTTACTTTTAAAAACATCTCTCTCTCTCTCTCTCTCTCTCTCTCTCTCTATATATATATATATATATATATATATATATATCTGTGTGTGTGTGTGCATTCACCCATGCGACAGTGTGTAAATGAATGTCAGAGGACAACTTATAGGAGTCAGTTCTCTCTTGCAGCATTTGGGTCCTAGAGATCCAATTCAGGTGCTCAGGTTTGTCAACAAGACCTTTACCAGCTGAGCCATCTTGACCCCATTTTTATATTTTAAACAATAAAGAATGACAAGTAGTGATATTATCAGAAAATAGATTATGACTCATGCGCTTCATCTGTAGTCCTGAGATGTAGTGTGAAAGATAAAACCTCGTACATGTTTTTGACCTAGAAATCTCATGCTGAAGAAGTATCATAAGGAAATAAGATGAAAGAGGAGAAAACTATATTTAAAAAGATGTTCACTTCATAACAGAGAAAGATGGAAAACTAATAAAAAATTTCCAGTATGAAAATATTAGTTTAAAAATGTACATGTGTTCATTGAATTGAAACTACAGTAAAAGGACAATATGAAAATAGTTACAGTGTAGCCACACAGGTAAGACATCTGAAGTGAGGAGTGGTGAAGGTGGTGCATGAACACTGATGCACACATGCATGCATGCACGGACATGCATACATACACGTATGCACGCATATATACATACATGCACACATTTGTACACATACGTAAAAACACACATATGCACATACATGTAATGCAGGTAAAATATAAAGTGCATGCTGAATTTGCAAGACCTGAAAACACGTGGGAAACAAAGACAATGAAGTTATGAAGACTGTAAGAACAAAGCTCTCATTGCCATCTCTCCATCTGTATGGTGAGTTAGAGTTTGAAAATTTAATTTCTTTTTTATATTATCACACGCTTTATATTTTGTTTGAAGTGAAATAGTGAGTCAGTTAATTGGAAATATTGGCAAACTACGATAGTTTTATTGACACAAAATGGGTTTTTATTTTATTTCTGAATAAAAGTTACCTGTTATGAAATGTATGCAAGAGGCTCTCTATTAAGGTTAAGGTTATTTGCAGTCTTAGTATCTCAATTTCTGTCTGCAATCATACAGATTTCAATGCAGCATGAAAAGATTTTACAAGGCCAATATTATGAGCAATGGGTATGAGAGTCTTGGGAGGACACACTATAGTTTAAGACTCCTTTTGGCAAGGAAGTCCTAAGGTGGACCCTCTAGGCTGGGAATTCTTTCTGCAAATAATTGCCTTGGTGAGAGACACAAATCAGTCATAACAGAGAGGTGGGTGATGGGGCGCCTAGGATGTGGTATTCAGGTGCTAGTATTTGCTGAGGGCAGGGAAATGTAGAAGGGAAGGTTATGACTGATGCCAGACCAAGTTGACTGACTTGCACAGTACTGATCACTACACTTACTTTGAGGATGTGGATTTCTAAACTTACAAGATATTTTGTTTTTGAGAATTAGAGACAATATTTGCAGGGCCCTGGGTAAACTGTGTCTTAAAATTCTAAAGTCATTGTGGGTGAGGGTATTCTAATTGCTTGAGCTGAGTGAATTTAGTGGAAGTTTGCTATTTTAAAAGATTATTTCAGGTTTGTTTGGAAATAGTGATGACTGGGGTAAATCGTGTTCAAGTTTTTCAAGTTGCAGGTAAAGAGGCAGCCTGCACAAGCAATCAATCATCTTTAGACTTAAGCAATCTCACTTTGAATAGTGACTATTTTCCACAGCAAAAGGGAAACACTTCCTCTTGGTACTTGGAAAGCACGCCCTGCTTGCATCTATAGCTTGCATCTATAGCCTGTTTCACTGTGAGATACTGTATCTCAATTTTCCAACATTCTTCATTCTTGTACCAAACACAACCTGGCAATGTCTTAAATTAACCTCTATGATTGATAATACATTTACAATGCCTTTTAAATGAAAGGTGTGCGTGTGTGTGTGTGTGTGTGTGTGTGTGTGTGTGTGTGTGTTTGTAAGCTATCTTTAGATATAAGGCCACATGAGTGTATAACAGATATGTTTACCATGCAAGCAACACCTAAATCAGGAAAGACAGCATAACCAGCTTCTAGAAGTCTCCTGGAACTTTCCATTCTTCCCCAAACCTGGGTAGAGTGAGATCCTATTGGCAGTTTGGAATTTATCACAGTGGGTGCATTTATACCACAGAAATTAACAAACACTATAACTGTTCTGTTGGGGAGTCAGTCTGTTAGATCACTAACATTTGTAACTGAGACTGACCACTGTTCCCCAAACTCACCCTCAAAGGTAAACATTCTCCTCACTTTTAAGATACTATATTGGGTTTTTTAGAACTTTACATATTCTGTCAATATTTCTCAAAGGCAGACATTGAGTCTCTTTCAATTCATTCTTTACAGTGTCTAATTTAGTACAAGAATTTTATAAATATTTATTGAATAATTAGGTTTTCTTTAAGTATGAGAATTGCATCTACAACAGACCAACCAACCAACCAATCAACCAACCAACCAACCAACCAACCAACCAACCAACCAACCAACCAACCAACAAACAAACAAATTGGTCTTGAGAAGTTGGATATTGGATGACATCTTAAGTTATTACATGTTCATTTTTCCTATATTCTAGACTTTTGTGTAAAGATAGAAAGAACCTTCATATTATAGGTGTTTACATCTTGTTAGTGTTGTGACATTAACTCTGCTTTTATTCCTGGCTATTTTCCGTTGCAAATTCTTCCTTGAAAGAAAATGCTAAAACCACCCAGAGCACTAGGGGATGAAAGTCAGTCTGTGACATTCTAAACCGTTCATACTCAGGAAATGAAGCTGGGGTGAGAGTTGCCAGGCTAATTGTATCACATTGAGTAGTTCATAAAACCTCTAGATGTTCTCTGCAGAGGTGGCATAGAGAGTTTGATGGTATTCAGTGCAAGTGAGGCAGCATGAGCATTAGAAGCAAGTGCAAAGCATTGCTAATAAAACAAAGATGTTGTAACAGCGAGCAGGCCTGGGCACGGTGAAGTCCATGGCCTGGCTTTTCTCTTGGCCCACACATGGTGCTGTGCAAGTTACTTCATTTCATCTGTTCTCAGCTTATTTTTATTCTGACAAGAAGGGAGTTGCTCTGCATGAGCAGTCATGCTCTTTCTAAGGCAGGGAAGCTTTGGTTCCCTCAGTGCTGTGTGCACTAATGCTGGGAATGAACACTGCTCCCGATGGCCAGAGGAGGTGTAGTGCCTCAGTGGAGGGGCCATTCACCAGGCTGAGACCTTTGCCAGTCAGGATCGGATCAACTGGTGTCCCCTCTGAGCCTTCTTTCTGCCACTCCTGTCTTTTGTGAGTAGTGAACGGCCAGAGTAGCCACTGCCCCCTCTATCCACACTGAAGATTCTGCCTATATCAAATGCAGCAAGTCTAGGCTTTAGGGCATTAAACTGTTTTTCTTTTCCATTAAAAAAAGGGTTATGCCTAAATTGAACCCATGAAATCCCCTCGACTCAGACCATTGGTGTCCTTTCTTTATTTCCCCAGCATACTTGCTACCAACTTGCTAATGGAAGCTGAATTTTTTTTGGTTTTTTACGAGACAGGGTTTCTCTTTATTGTTTTGGAGGCTGTTGGTCCAGCCTGGCCTCGAACTCACAGAGATCCACCTGCCTCTGCCTCCCAAGTGCTGGGATTAAAGGTGTGCGCCACCACCACCTGGCGAAGCTGAATTTAAAGTAACTATAGTGAGTGTGAAGGTATTTCCAAGTTTTTTATAAGTTGTCTAGATCTTTTTGAGTTGTGTTTCATAAGCATAATGAGTATCTAACAAAGCTGGGAAGATGTTAGAGCCAGAATGCCCCATTGCCTTCAGCTCAGGAACTCTGCTCAATGCTGACTCTATGTTCAATGTCTTATATTTGTGTGTTGGAAATATACAAGGTCCATGAGCAAAGAGAAGAAGAAAATACATTTCAGTTTACAGGGAGGGTGAGATCTAAATACTATTCTGCTGGTATTGCTAGATTGATCATGAGGCAAGGAGTTGTTATTAGGGAAGTCACTTTGCTGGTTTAGTTCTGTTTTGCCAGTGGTGTTGTGTTAAAAGAATTCAAGTCAATGGCCTCTATACTGTGGCGGCTTTCGAGCTCTGTTACCTCTTGGACAGTATTGATGAGTGGCTAAAGTATGTCAAATTAGATTGTATATAGGATGAGTCAAAAGATAGAGGTCACTAACTGAGGACATGCTGCTTAGAAATTTGCTGGACACTTTCTGTCACAGATCACCGAGGGAAGAAGAATAAGCAAAAGCAGGTACCTCCCAAGGGAGGGGAGGTAGAGTGGAATCTTCTTGGCTGCTGACTTGATGGTAACCTTTACTTTCTTTGATCTGAATGAGGTGACAGGAGTGAGTGGACTTGGTTTGACTTCAAACCTCTGTTTTTGTGAATGTGATTTCATTTGGACACAGTCTTTACAGATGCAATCAAGATCAGTTGAGGTCATGCTGCTTCAGGGGCCTGAGTCAGTGGAAGAAGAAATGTGGACACATGTGTGTGCACATACATGCACAAGATATAAATGTCACGGGGGCAGTTCCTCTGTAAGCCAGGAAATATCAGAGATTACTGACAACACCAAAAGTAGGAGAGGTGTGGGGAAGATTTTTTTCAAGACCCTCAGGAGGAACTACTTTGACAGATACCTTGATTTTGGATTTCTGGCTTTCAGGGGTGTGGGATAGTAAATTCCTGTTTATTAAGCCAACTGAGTAGTGGTATTGTTTTCCGCTGTGCCTGTAAAAAATTCCCCCTATATTAATACAGATACCAATTCCATTATTTATATCCCAGATCGATAAGTTTAGCTTTCTTGTTCTTCCCCTCCCTCCACCCCTCTCCCCTCACCCACTCCCCCCTCCCCTCTCCTCTTCCCCCTTCCTTCTTTCTCTCTATTTTCCCTCTTTTTCCTTTTCTTCTCCTGGATCCTCTATTTCTCTTTCTTTCTGCATCCTCTCTTTTCTCCCCTCCTTTCTTTCTTCTCCCCTTTCTTTATCTTACATGTGCAAATATTTTGTCACTGAGCTACACTCCAAGTCAATTTTACAGTTCTTCATTAGCCATACACACATCAAACACTTATGTATTGTTATATCTTGGGCATTAAAAATAAGACTTGGTTGTTTATTCATTTTTCTCCATTCACTTTTTTTCTTTTTCTTTTAGACAGCAACCAGTTTTTACAATGGACTCTCTTATTGCAGCAAATAGCAAATTTAGCTTCGATTTCTTCCAAGAAATTAGCAAAGATGACATTCATAAGAATATCTTTGTCTGCCCTCTGAGCATCTCAGCTGCCTTTGGTATGGTCCGCCTGGGAGCCAGAGGTGACAGTGCACACCAGATTGATGAGGTATGTATCCAGAAGGATGCTGAGCAGGGCCCTGTGCTCTGTCTGGGTCCATAGGCAGCTAATCTAACTCTCAGGTGAACTGGAGTTGCTTACTGCTCTCAGCATTTGCGTCTGGAAGCCTCTACAGTTTCCTTTCCATTTCCATTCATCTTTCACATGGGACTTCTCTAGCCTCCCTGCCTGATAGCTTTTTCCCATTCATCTTTGTCTCTTCACCTCTGTCTCCATGTCTGTCACTTTCTCTCTACAGTTACTGACACAAATATTGCTGGTAGCTTTTAATATGAGTATGCTTCCTCTCTTTCTGCTCCCATTAACCAGAAGTGTATTAGAACTTAGATATTTAGTCAGTAGCTTAAGATCCTCCTTGACTTTCTAATTTCATTTGTCAGAGAATCCCATTGGCTTTCCTTTTGATAAACCTCCCAATCCAGACCTTCTGAACTCCCTGAGTTCTGAACTCTATTGTCTCTTTTGGCTTGCTTCTGTGACAACATCCTATATTGCTGCCATTTGGCAGTATGCTCCTAACCCTTGTGAAAAGAAAGTGAGTCGTACTTTGAGGCCTTTGGGTTCCTTTGTCCTGTGTCTCTTCCCTTAGTGTATTAGTTACTTTTCTGTTGCTGCAACAAAACATTGTGACCCCAGCGATGTAAAAAAAAGAAACCATTTTATTGGGCATACAGTTTCAGAGGATTGCAGTCCATGATGGCAGAGCAAAGGCATGGTGGCAGAGGCAGCTGAGAGTGTACATCAAGACCAACAAATGGGAGACAGAGGGAGCACACTGGGGATGGTGCAAGTCTTGAAACCTCAAAGGTCACACCAGTGACACACCTCCTCCAAAAAGGTGACACATCCCCATCCTTTCAAAACTGTCCCACTAGTGAGGGACCAGGTATCCTAATGTATGAGCCTATGGGGTCCACTTTCTTTCATACTACCATATTCATATACCTAATCCTTTGTCTTACTTTCTTCTTCATCAACGTTTACCATTTACCACCCTTCAAAGGCTCGCTCTGATCTTCCAATCTAATGCTCCAGCTGCTCCCGATCCCATAGATGAGCCCAGTCACATATACCCACACAGCATTTCTCATCAAGGGCGTACAGCAGCCAATCACTATGCATAGTATTTTTTATATCTTCTGCATTGCTGCATAACCTCCAAGAGTCTTTGTCCTACAAAAGCACCAGGTCAAGAGTAGGCACCCAATTGCTGTCTGTAGAATACTGACTACATATGACAGAAGTGTTCCCTGGCCCCTCAGCAAGCTGTGAACTTCTGAGGCTGGGCTAGTACTTCCTTGGCACAAAGATTAGGCATCAATACATTGAGGAGTTGGGCTCACAGATCAAGGCAGAATTATTTGGGGTCATTATGCTCTTGCATTTACTTGTACTTGCTTTACCATCATTTCCTGTTCCATAAGCAGCACATAGATGTACAATGGGGCTTGCATCCTCTAGGACCAGCTGGTGTTCTTTCTCCATGCAGCTCCATAACCTGAATCTGAGCAGTGTGGGGTCAGCCTCTTCTTCCCTGCTTCCACTGAGATGCTAGGCAGCTTGTCTCATGTCATGCTCACTCTCCTGACCGATGTGAAACTTCAAATCCGTGCTGTCCAATGAAAATATGGCTAAAGCCACATATGAAGCTAAAGCATTTTTTAGTAGCCGCATAAAAATTTTTCAGAAGATAAAGCTGTTTAATGAGAAAGTATAGATAATTCATCATTTTCACAATACCTTATCAATATTTAATCAATATGTATTTTACAATATGTATTTTAATGAATTGTTTATTCTATCCTCAAGACCTCATATGTGCATTTTATATATGCACCCAGTTAAGGCTGGGCATGGAAAAGTGTAGGTTAGTAGTGGCCCATAGTTCGTGAATTCATTTTGTCTCTTGGTTTGGCTATATTCATTCTAGCTTTTTTCTTTTCTTTTTTTTGTGTTTGGAAAAGGTGTCTTGTAGCCTGGGCTGGCCTCAACTTTTCTATGAAGCTGAGGATAATCTGGAACTTCTAATCTACCTGCTTCCCCTGGGATTAAAGGAGTGTGCCACCCTACTTAGGTCACATGGTGCTGGGGATAGAACTCAGAGCTCTGTGCATGCTAGGCAGCACTCTGTCAAGTGGGCTCATACCCATTCCTAAATGTAGTCGGAAGAGGAGGGCGGTATCAGTGACACCCACTTCTGTGAATGATCGTTGACTATTTTGCTGACTTCCTATCCTTCATATTGTTTCAAAGGCCATGTGTCATTGTCACGCAGGTATTACATTTCAATGAACTTTCCAAGAGTGGAAGCGAAGAACCCTGTTCAAAAAGCAAAAGCGAAGTGTTGTCTGACAGCTCTCCGGAAGGGCAGAAACAGACGCCCGCGGCTCAGGAGCAGCAGGTGAGACTGCCTGAAGACTGCTCTTCGCCTTTGCCCATTCTTCTGCCTGTGCTGTGCTGGATGACAGATGCTCATTCTGTAGGTTAGGTGCAGGCTTCAGTCAGCAGGCATCTCACACGGGCTGAAGTTCCTTTCTGTGTCTTGGTTGTCCCCATTCCTGTCTGCCTCCCTAACCTGGTGACACTGGACAATGGCATCTCACTGGCCAACTCTACTTTCCTCCTGCAAAAACAGTTTTTCTTTAGTGGTGCTTAACTTGGATTGTTAGGGAACCATTTGTTTTTCTTTTGCTAGGATGACTCTACAGATGAGAATGAACTGCTCGGCTGCTACTTTGGGAAACTTCTCTCCAGATTAGACACAGCCAAAGCTTATTACACTCTGAGTATGGCCAACAGACTCTATGGAGAGCAGGGATTCCCAATTTGCCCGGTGAGTTACAGGGACTGCGGTGTCCACAGAGCATGCTCTCTAAGTAAGTGGATGGCCTGCCTTCCTCATGTGCATGACTGCAACTTGCTTTCTGAGGTCCCACACTGATGCAGCAATGATAAGCGGTATAATACTTATAGAGGTATAAGTATTTATTGTAGAAGGGCGAGAGGTTCTGCTGCTCAGTCTTTTATTCCTTCCTCCGTATACGCCCCTAGCCATGCCCAAAAGTGGGCCTGGCTAGTGATGTATTTCACTGCCTATGTCCTATACGTCTTTAGTCATGCCTAAAGTGGGTGTGGTTAGCGGTGTGGTAAACTGCTCTTTTATTACCTCATCTATATGCACCTCTAATATGCCACATGGCTAATGGCGAAGTACCAAATTTCACCCTACATCACACTTCTATTTCCTTCCATCCAATTTTCATTTTGAGTTTAGGAGTCCACTTATAAAGGGCCTCCTGATTCACAGCCCATTGGTACACACACAAGCTTAGTAAGGTATTCAAGTGACTGCCTTTCCCAAACAACGTGCGTGGTAGAAGCAGTTTGTGGCTTTTCTGCCTGTTGACTGCCTTTAAGGCACTACTCCAAGATCCCTTATTGGGCCTCAATCAGGTAGTTCCCATGGAAGCTGGGCTTCGCAGAAGGTGCATGGTGCCAAGAAAGGTGACCCCATTGGGAGCTCAAAGCCACAGGCCTTGTTTCTGTGGGCAAGCAGCGCTTACCTGAAGCAAGATAGGCTCCAATTAGGATTGCAGTGTTAAGAAAATGAGCCACATTGTCATTAAGTATGATGTGTGGGAGTAGAGGTAGGTGTGATACCCTAGAATTTTGAGAGCTAAATTTACACATGCATTTCATTTATTAAAGAGTATGCAATCAGTGTTTTTGGTAATCTATTTATTTAATACATAATTTAATTATATATAGTTTGTATATTAATGTATATATACTAAATATAATTTAATGCATAATGTATTTATTTAAAGTATAATACATAATACATAATTTAAGTGAAATCATTTATTTAAAATTATACTAAATACAAATTAATACAAATACACTTCTAAACTATTTTAAATTTTGTTTATAGAGTGTAATTAATTATATTCACAACTATTATGCTTTTCATGAAACTTGGCCATGTTCAAACAGAAAGTCTGTGAACATTAAGGTGGCCTTGGTGTTAGGTGACTAGTAGTTTCTTTTTATTGCCACCATCTCATCTTAATGAGCAGCACCAGCATGTGATTTTGTTGTGCTTTTTTCCATGTATTTGAACTAAACAGGAGTACTCTGACGGTGTAACTCAATTCTACCACACGACAATTGAAAGTGTAGATTTCCGGGGGGACACTGAGAAATCGAGACAAGAGATTAACTTCTGGGTTGAGAGTCAGTGTCAAGGTAAGAAAGGCCTAGTCTTGAGGCTGGTATTTCTTTCCTCACAAAGAAGAGCAGTGGGTCTGCTTTGCGGGTGGCTCCTCTTCTGGGGCTGGCGTTTGCATGTGTGGGGTGTGCTTGTAGCTCATTGCAGGCTGGCGTTTGCATGTGTGATGTGTGCTTGTAGCTCATTGCAGGATGGTGTTCGCATGTGTGGGGTGTGCTTGTAGCTCATTGCAGGCTGGTGTTCCCATGTGTGATGTGTGCCTGTAGCTCATTGCAGGCTGGTGTTCCCATGTGTGGGGTGTGCCTGTAGCTCATTGCAGGCTGGTGTTCCCATGTGTGGGGTGTGCCTGTAGCTCATTGCAGGCTGGTGTTCCCATGTGTGGGGTGTGCCTGTAGCTTATGGCAGGCTGGTGTTTGCATGTGTGATGTGTGCTTGTAGCTCATTGCAGGCTGGTGTTCGCATGTGTGATGTGTGCCTGTAGCTCATTGCAGGCTGGTGTTCCCATGTGTGGGGTGTGCCTGTAGCTCATGGCAGGCTGGTGTTCGCATGTGTGGGGTGTGCTTGTAGCTCATTGCAGGCTGGTGTTCGCATGTGTGATATGTGCCTGTAGCTCATTGCAGGCTGGTGTTCCCATGTGTGGGGTGTGCCTGTAGCTCATTGCAGGCTGGTGCTTGCATGTGTGATGTGTGCCTGTAGCTCATTGCAGGATGGTGCTTGCATGTGTGATGTGTGCCTGTAGCTCATTGCAGGGTGGTGTTTGCATGTGTGATGTGTGCCTGTAGCTCATTGTAGGGCGGTGTTCCCATGTGTGGGGTGTGTTCACAACTCACTGCTGCACAGCATCAGACAAGATGGGGCATACTCAGGCTGGTAGCTACTTAGGCACATCTATCATTTGCTCCCCCCCTTTTTCCCTCCTAGATTCTCAGAGTTTTAAAGACTTTTGAAATTACAACTACTTATTTATTGTGAGTGAATGCGCGTGTTGATATATACATGTGCTTGATGTGTGAACGTCAGAGGACAACTTGCAGGAGCAGGTCTGTCTTCCCACGTGGATCCTACGGTTTAGTTCACGTTGTCAGGCTTATGAACAAGTGACTTTACCTCTGAGTCATTTTGCCAGCCATGTGTCATGTGTCAGCATTCCCAGTGCTTTTATTATGGGCTTTCTTTTGAATGGTATGAAGGAATCACTGTCTCTTTTGCAATAACACCAATGTTTGCAGCATGTTTGTCCACAGGACTGAGGCTCATCGTTTCTACAAAACACCCATTTAAAAATTGGAGTTCATCTGTCACATTTGAGTTATTGAGGACTCTACTTTTACTTACAATATCTATCATGTGAAAAAGTGACAGAAAACATTAAATTTCTTTTGGTTGAGAAATTATAATGTTGAAAACCACAGTATCACTCATGCATTGTATACTTATAATTAATATAGAAATATATTAACTTAAGAATCTAGCCATGCATATGTGCTTTCAGTATCATTTTACATGACACATTAAGAACGAAGGGAAACTATGTGGTTTAAGATGCACATTTATTTCTTAATTTAGTAATTTAGTGTGCAATGTATGTATGTGTATATATCACTGCAGTTTGGTAGTATCTGCCCACCCACCCTCCCAGCCCCTCCCCTCCTTGTTCCTGTTGGTCTCCTCCTGAAATAGTCCTTCTGCGTCCATGTCCATCATCTGCATGACTTTAGATTCACTGTAGGAGAGAAAACATGCAGTATTTCATATTCTTTCCCCATCACTCACTCATTCACCGTCCGTTTTCCCTTTAGAGCCCCCTCTACCTTCACATGGCCTGCCTTTCATGTCCTAGGTACTCAAACCTAATAGGAGAGGAGACCCGGGCTGTTTGTCTTTCTGAGCCTGGTTTATTTTGCCTATCTCGATGACACCCGCTTCCACCCACTTGACTGCAAATAACATAATTTCATTCTTCTTCATGGCTACATAAAACTGTCACGTATGTATGCAGTTTTTACTCATCAAGTCTAGTAATAAATATGCTCAACAGGAGTTGGTCCTCTTCATTTATCAGCTGTTTCTGAACTAGCCGCTAGCGGCGGGACTCAAACTGGTCTAAGTCATTTCTCCAATGCTTTGTTCACTTGCGGCTCGCTTGCTCTTCATCCCTCTCGACTTCCACCATCATCAGCATGGTAGAGACTCCAACTAACTCAAGCCTCTGTTTCATAGGGGGATTGCCGTGTGATCTCGTCAGTCACTAAGAATGAAGGCAGGGTTTCCGGCCTGAATTTCTAGGTGGCTGGGAGCCCTTCTTCTACCTGCGCTTGCGTACTTTACAAAAATGAATCCTTTGTCTCAGGCCTGAGCGTTAGAGGAGTGCTTGTGGGTGTGGTACTGGAGGCATTCTTGCTCAGTGAACTTTGGAGAATGAGAGGGAAAGGTGGAATTAAAAGTAAGACTTTGGCTCAGGATGCACGTACACGTGAGTGACTGACAAACAGGGAACAACAGTGGCCGGTTTATTAGTTGCTCTTGGTACTTGGTGCAATACTTTCTATTTCTTTCTCCCATTTGGAGGCTTATACTCCTTGCTTCCTTTTAACATGGAGTTGAGGTCTGCTTACTGATAGCGTTTACGTAGGGGAAACCTTTAAATCCCACATTTATTTACTCTTCTTTTTCCTTTTTCTTTCTTTTTTTCATGTATGTCTTTTATTAGCTAACCCTTTCCCTTTTTAAAAAAATACATTTTTGTCACAGTTGACCTTCCCATTTAAGCAAAGTGTATTTAATCTGAGAACAGGCAGTCTCTTCTATAAATATAGAGGCAGACTATATAGAAATACCAGCAGCATCTGTCAGCTTCCTACAGACCCTGGGAGTATCATGACTGACCTGAACTATATTTCTTCATACAGCTACATTTGTCAGCCTTGTCTCTCAGTACTTAGCTTAATGCTTAGCATGTAATAAAGTCTCACTACTAATGAGCTAGTGTTACTGTTCCTTTTCTATGTGCCTCAGAATTCCTGCTTTTTCAAGGTTCTGTTCAGCTATCAAGAGAGTAGTAGTTTGGTAAAGAAATCTTGACTGAACCCTAATATATATTTCCTTTTTAGTGAGTTAGCTTTCCTGATGTATTTTAAGTGTCGTTGATGTTGACGTAGTGTATTTAGAATCTATTTACAGCCTTCCTCAATGTAAAATGATCCTCCCTATTTAAGATCTCAGCATACATTAAAAAATTAAAGTAGAAAAGGATGTGTCTTGAAATGGACTAGTGCTTGATGACATCAAGGACCACTTCCTGTCATTTTTAGAGATGCTTCCCCTTCTCCTTAATATTCTTTTGTAATGGATGGTGTTTGAATGAGAGCTGGTCTGAGATATGGAAGGCCCCAGGATCAATGCTTGTTCACCTTGTTCCTTTTTGACAATTTGATGTCTCCTGTTATTGCTTACAGCAAATAACCCCATTAAGAAGGGACAGCTATCAGTATTTCTGGAAGGCTTAATTTCTATGTGGGGCTTAGGAGGTATTAACTTCTACAAGTGAATGTGTTTGTTAATAAAACTGAATGAAATCTTCCTTTGAGCTGAAATGTAGGAACCTCTACAAAGTAGGTTTTATATTATGTCCTTGTGTGTGTGTGTGTGTGTGTGTTTATATGCCCATCTATCTATATGTTTGTCTGTCTGTCTATCATCTACCCATCTTTTTATATGTGACAGTGTATACTGAACTTCAATAAATGCAACACAAAGGAATTTCATACTGTAGTTATTCTATCCAGGAAATTATAAAAGTCAGGTGATTAAATAAATAATATGAAACATAAGCCATAGATGTCTGGTGGCAATTTGAAAACAAAAGTGACAAAGAGAGTCAAAGAAGATGCTTTTGTTCTCAGGTCTTCCTCCAGGGGAGTGAGCATTCTCCCCCAACAACTTCTATCCTTCTTCAAGCACCCATAACCCTCTCGGTTTCTTGGGTAAGCTCTTGAGTGAAGTAATTTCCAATGTCTCCATGAATACTTTTCATGCAACACGGGTTTAGGTTATTCTCTGGCACTTTTCCTCTAGGTAAAATCAAGGAGCTGTTCAGCAAGGAGGCTATTACTAATGCAACTGTGCTGGTACTAGTGAATGCTGTTTACTTCAAGGCCAAGTGGGAGAAAAGCTTTGACAGTGAAAACACAGTTGATGCACCTTTCTGTCTAAGTGAGGTATGTACTGTATTAGCTTGCCGCTTCTAGGTAGTCCACTCTTAATTTCTGCTAATGGTGATCAGTAATGTCTAGACTCAAACCTAATGCTTAGATTGGTGGCTTATAATTATAAGAAACCATTTTGCGTTTTATAAAAGGCAAAGTTCACTGAACATTTTAAATGCTGCTAGTCTACAGCACACACATATTTCAGAACATTTTATACATACTGAATCCATACAATCTATTAATTAATTAAGCTTGTATAGACTGACACATGTCTAAAAGCCCAGCACTTACAAGGCAGAGACAGGGGGATCATCAAAAGTTCAATTCTAGCTTTTTCTACATAAGAAGTAGTAGGAATCTAGAACTACATATTGATACCTTGTCATAAAACAAAACAACGCAAATGTATACACTTAAGAAAAGAAACAGACCTCTTTATTTTGCATCTGCTTCTTACCTCATATAGTTAACACATGAGACTACTCTAGTTACCTCTAAATTTTCTGTTCCCATCCCTAGACATCTCCCCCTAGATTTATCCCCTATCCACTTGTCAGAGATTGTAAACACTGAGTATATGTTTCCCAGGAAAAGTTGTCTGGGTGCTGTTAGCAATCCAGGAAAGAGCATATCAGCCAACTAGTTCCTGAAGATTATTAAGAAGTACATAGAAGACTGTGTTTTCTGGGATTTCTTTGGCTGAATTAGGGTGTGGGAGATATTTGGATTGAAAGTCTAGCAGTAAGTGGTCTCAAGAGCTAAGGAACAGATGAAGGCCACAGTTGGATAAAGTATTGGTAAAGTCAGGGATGCTTTATTCATTGGTAGGCAGAGCGGTGGTTTAGGTTGGGTCATTGGCTTGAATCTGAATTTCTGGGATAGGTCCTTTTCTTCTTGAAGCACCCTATTTCTCAGGGATGTTGATGTCATGGGTGTTTGAACTCTCCATGACCTTTTGTCCTCTGCAGAATGAAAAGAAGACGGTAAAGATGATGAATCAGAAGGGGAAGTTTAGAATTGGTTTCATTGAGGAGCTGCAGGCACAGATCCTGGAAATGAAATACACCATGGGGAAGCTCAGCATGTTGGTCCTGCTTCCGTCTTGCTCAGACGACAACGTGAAGAGTCTGCAAGAGGTATAGCTTCATTGTCACACCCATACAAATCCCAGAGGAGTAGCACTATGAGGAGTAGCACTAGCATCTGTCATCCAAGAAGGATGCTATCTCAGCTTGTAGAGACATTGGAGACACATGGAATCTGAATGAGATTGGATATTCATTTTTGTTTCTTTCAAACCAATGAGTGAGTGCCAGATATATCAGAACAAGAGTTCCCTTACCCCCAAATTCACAGATTTCTGCAATCACTTTCCAGACCAAGGAATCTGAATGGCAAGTAGTTTGACAATTTTCACAAATGAAACAGTTCCTCTTTTCTAAAATAGCTTGACCTTTGGCCTCTGCCATATCTGGCTGTTTAACTGCAAGTGTTTTGTAAACATGTGATTTGATAGAAGTGGAAATACTGATACTATAAGAAAGGAATCAGTGAATGTTGGGGAGGCCCAGATACCTCTGTTCTGGGGGGAGGAGTTAAGGAGAGGATAGGGAGATAGACAAACAGACAGACAATAGGTGGACAGAGATATCAACACTGTACTTACAGTAACTACCATTGTTCAAAATATATGACACACCAGCATTACTTTAATGTATCTGAGTACATTCATACATTAATTTGGTTAGTCTTCAGAAGAGCCTTATCATATTATCTCTGCTGGATGGAAAAGGAAATTTTACTTCAGAGTAGCAGGGCTGGTCTGAATTTGCCCAACTTAATTTTTCTGGTCTTTGAGAATGAACCCGCCCAATGTCAAAGTGCAATGGGATGTTGATTGTCCTACAGTTCCAAGGGAGGAAATTTAAACAAAGTCTAGAGAGGAAATGTGGAAATGAACCTATTCTGAGGTTTAGAGAAAGTCCTTGGTGTGTACATATAACTGACTATTAAGACAGTAACTTAGGAACTCTGAAGCAACTGAGATACTTTTGCCGGTTTATAGTCTGACCTTAAATGCCATTTCCTTCTTTTTATAGCTTGAAAGCAAAATAAGCCATGAAAAAATCATGGCTTGGAGTAGCTCAGAAAATATGCCAGAAGAATCAGTATCCATTTCCTTCCCCCAATTCGTCATGGAAGACAGCTATGATCTCAACTCTATTCTACAAGGCATGGGCATTAAGGACATCTTTGATGAAACGAAGGCTGACCTGACTGGAATCTCTAAGAGTCCCCGTCTGCATTTGTCCAAAATTATCCACAAGAGCTTTGTGGAAGTAGATGAGATGGGTACAGAGGCGGCTGCAGCCAGTGGGGCTGTTGCTGCAGAGAAGGCCCTTCCATTGGAGTTCAATGCCGATCACCCTTTTCTCTTTTTCATCCGACACAACCCGACCCACACAATTCTTTTCTGTGGCAGGGTCTACTCTCCTTGAACACCCTCTGGCTCTCATGTGCCTGAGGTGAATGGCAATACACTTTTCCCTTTTGCAAAACATGGGCACTTGCGTTTTTGCTGACTGCTGGAAGCTGAATGCCTTCTGCCACAGTCCCACACTCAGTCCGTCAAGCCTCCCAAGAGTTTTTGTTCTGATAACATCTGTCACCGGAAGCCAATTCTCTCCTGTCTGTTAATGAAGCAGCCTTGCTGTCTCCATAATCTTTACTGTCTTAAACTTTCAAGCATATAAATTCACCTTCTATTATTTGGAGGTCAACACAATGCAGACTGGTATTGCTTTTATTTAAGTTACCGCCATCTTTATGAAGAAATGCTGTAAAGTTTGTCATTAGACCATTCTGAGAGATTGAAAAGTCAGAATGTAATTAAATGCATTTGGGAACCTTGGTTCTGCTTCTAGAGCAGTTTTAATCATGGCAAGACTCTTGACCCTTTTCATATGTGTTTTCTACAAGGAATTCTCTTGTAATCATGATCCTTAGGCATCATTATCATGCACTCCCCTCAGTCTCTTTGCTCTCCCTCAGAGAATACCCATTTATAGATAGTTGCTCCTAAGCACTGGGATACTGAAACTGGGGAAGAAACTGTCCACAATTATGGATGGCTTAGAGACCCTTTCTTCTGTTTATTCTTTATGATATGAACTTATTTAACCTTCCAGAGGCATATATATATGTATTATATATATATATCTTTTTCAGGAAAACTATTGCTTTCATGTGAAATTCCAGTTACTAAAAGGTGAATGAATGCATGTTCTTGGGCCCCAAGCTTTTAAAGTTGATGACCTCTGCTTTACCTGAATGATGTTGAATGGCCACTGGTACTCTCAACAAGGGGAGTTAATCAGGTTCTGTTCTAACAAGTACTCTTCTTGGTGTGGTCCAGCTTCCCTGCCCTGCACAGTGATGTCTTCCTTCAAGCTGCCATTGCACAGGGGAAGGGTGCCGGCAGCAGGTTTTTCAGGAAGTTGATCACTTCAGCTTGATAGGATGTTGCTCTCCTCCTCCCTTCCTCGTGACTTCTCTGCTGTGAGAAGCAAGCCCTACATTCTTCATACAGACTTCTCATCTTTTAGTTTTATTTATGGAACAAAACAATTTGTTCTTTTAATAACTTCTTTACTGACTCTTTGGGAGTTTCACTTCATGTACTCCAATTCTGTTTACCTCCTGGTGCTCCATGATGCCCTCATTCCCGCCACACCCCACCCAACATAAGGAAACAAATCAAAGTAAGCAAGCAGATGAACAGAAGCAAAAGCAAAAAACCAAACCAAAACAAACAGAAAACCAAAACCAAAAAAACAAAACAAAACAAAAACATAACAAAACCACAACAGAAAAATCTCTTTTCCCTCTTTCCTGCCTCTCCAACACCTCTTCATTCATCCTGATGGCAAGGAGGCTTCAGTGTGGCATATAGTATATCTCTTTGTCCCATCAGTTTTACTGGCACATTTGTATTGCAACGAGTTACTGATCTGGTTCAAGGCCTCTGACTTCTGGTGTACCACCATCATTGGATCCCCACCAGAACCCCTCTGGGATACCTTGTGGCTGCCATGTGTCTTGGGGATCCTGGTGACACCATTCTACAGGGTCAGTCCCTTCACCAGCTCCAGCAGCTCCTAGATGGGATAGATGCTAGGGTGGGCCAACCCAAGGCCTGACTGTGGGCCTGGACAGTAGTCAAGCTGGTTAGACAATATGAGCAGAAATGCTAGCATTTTGAGGAAAGAAAGAGTTCACTCTTTTTAAGGATTTATTTTTTATGTATATGGGTGTTTTGTCTGCATGTATATCTGTGCACCATGTGTGCACAATGCCCATGGAGATCAGAAGAGGGCATTGGATCATTTGGAACTGGAGTTAGATGGTTGTTTGCTAACATGTGGATGACAGGAAACAAACCCAGGCCCTCTGGAAGAACAAATGCTCTTAACTGTTGAGCCATCTCCCCAGGCTCAGGAAAGATTTGGCAAGATTCGTTCCCTAGAGGCAGAAAGAGCATTCAGATCAGTGGGCTGTGTAACTGACAGGAAACCAAGTAGGTCATGACAGTCATGATCATCAGCTCTTCCATTTTCCAGTGCACATATCCCTCTATCCAGCAGTACTGACAGGTGGAACAAATGGAGTGATGCAGCTTCTAAAACAGTTGCTTCCTTTCTGACGATTACAGTGTTTGGTAAGAAAGCTCTGGATATACAGGCCTTAACAGATGCTCTAGTGTGTTTCAGACTCTCCATGATCAAATATTTTAATCCACCTTCTCCTTCTGATTCCTATTTTGTCTACTACGTCATTTCCCCATCAAACCCCTCCTCAAACTTTCTTTTTGAGCTGGCTAAACTGGAACTTATCACTTCATGTAATTGCTGTTTATTTCTTTTGCATGTGTAGTACTCTCAAAACCACTCTGTCATTAACTCAAGGCTATTTCAGCCTGGGCAGCAGAGTGGGAAGGTATGCAGTTGGCTCAGTGGCTTTCTTACATCTGTAGTTGAGTGTCAATCCCAAACGTAACAGAACTCATAAAGACAAACAGTGTTAAAATATAAAATGCTAGGGAAATATAAATGCAAAGTAAAACTAAATAGATTTTAAAGGTAGGCAAGAGGCAGTGTTGGTGGTTCAGTGGTAGCATTCTACGCAGGAGGTCCAGATTTGTTTCCTGGACAATGCACTTCCACATTTTCTTAAAAGAAGGAAAGAAGAAAAGAAAGACAGAAAGAAAGAAGGGCAAGAAAAGTAAACCACTGGGAAATATAATTAGTGAAATAAGTCAAATAAAAATGTTACTATTGGGATTTATGGGAAATAGTGGGAGTAGGTATAAAAAGAGAATGAGGGTTCTGGAGACGGCACCATGGGTAAAACACTTGTTATGTAAGAGTGAAGATCCCAAGAGTATAAACATCTGGACACACAGCAGGTGCACCTAGAGTCCAGTGCTTCTACTGCACAATGGGGAATGGAAGAGAATCCAGAAGCCCTCAGGGTAGCTAGTCTGCTGTATGCAGTGGGCATAGCACAAGACTCAGTCTCAGAACAAGCAGGAAGAAGAGGACCAACACTTGAAATTGTCTTTTGATACACACACACACACACACACACACACACACACACACACACACACACACACAAAAGAGAAACAGAGACAGAGACGGATAGTCAAACACCAGGAAATAAGCCCAAGAATTCCCATGTTCCTTAAAAATAGACTTACCAAGAAACTTTACAAACAAAGTTTGAGAAAGATATCAGGATGTGAACAGTGACCAAAATATTTTATATGTGGGATAAAATATTATGGGCCTAAACATATTTTTACTTGTTCTTTGAGAATTTCACACCTGTTTAAAATAAAATTTGATAATAACCAACAAACCCACTTTCCCACTTCAATTTCTGACAACATCGCAGTCTAAAACATTTATTTTGCGTTGGATTCTGGAGAAAAATAAAACCTACTCTGTAGTTTTGTAGGAGAAATGCACATTTAAAACTCTTCACAGCCAAGCTGATGTTTGTGTACAAAACAATAGAAAATTATTCTCTTATATGTCTGTGTATGCGAATGTGGGTATGTTTAGTCCCAACACCTGACACTGTGTTGTAAATATCAGGGAAATTAAAATAAACTATGTGTTATTTGAGTGGACTTTAATGCAGTAAAAGACTCAAAAATCCATCCATGAGATTGTTCCTGTAAAATATATATCCTCAGTTTACAATTACAAGAAGAAAAGAAACTCATTATTTAGAATTTTTACCATCCTATAGCTGTCAGCAGCTATAACTCTTCCCATTAGCACCCATGTGATTTTAGATGTTAGATCCATGTTTAGGATGAATTCCAAGTTTCAGAATAACAGTGCAGCCACAGACTCTGAATTAGAACTGTGATAAGCCTAGCACTTAGTGTATTAGTTGTGTAGCAGTGTTGGTGATCCCATTCCATCAGACTATCAGCCATTCACCCCTTTCCCTCATTCAGAGATCTAGGTTACTTTTTAAAAAATATATGTTTTTATTTAAATTAGAAATGTGAATGTTTCACATGTCAGTCCCAGCTCCCTCTCTCTCCTCTCCTTCCTTGTCCCTCCACCAGCTCCCCAGCCCCCACCCAATCCCCACATCATTCCCCAGGGAGGGTGAGACCCTCCTTGGAGAGGGGATCTCTAAAGTCTGTCATTTCATCCTGGGCAGGACCTAGCCCCTTCCCCATGTGTCCAGGCTGAGAGAGCATCCCTCTATTTGGAATGGGCTCCCAAAGATCGTTCATAAACCATGGTGAACACTGATCTACTACCCAAGGCCCCAGTGATTTCTGTGGCCTCCTCCCTGGCACTGCATTCATGGGGTCTGGATCAGTCTCCTGTTGGCCTCTCAGCCATCATTCTGGGATTCAAGAGCTCCCCCTTATCCAGTCAGCTGTCTTTGTGTGTTTCATCATCATCGTCTTGACCCCTTTGCTCATCACTCCTCCATCTCTGTCACTAGGTTCCTGGAGTTCAGTTCAGTGTTTAGCTGTGGGTCTCTGTCTCTGCTTCCATCAATCCTTGGATGAAGGTTCTAGGATGGCATATAGGATAGTCATCAACCCTATCATCAAGGAGGGGCTATTAGTGTAGTCTCTCCACTATTGTTTAGGTTGCCAGTTGGTATTATCCTTGTAGATATCTGGAGATCTCACTAGAGTCAGCTCTCTCCTCAGGCCTATAATGACTCGATCTATTATGGTATCTCTCATCTTGCTCTCCTCTATTCTTACTTCGACTCAACCATCCTGCTCCCCCAAGCATTCTTTTATTATTCATATCCAGCAAGTGGCAAACTGCGATACAGAGATTCAGCGATTTGACCAAGATCATGCAGGAAGCAAATGGTTGAATTTAGATTTGAACCAGATGGCTTGTTTGTTACACAGTTGATAACCGTTTCTCTGCATCCTTTTAAGCAAAAATCAAGGGTACAAGGATTCATTTGCTTCCATCTCTTTATTTTACTTGTTTGATCTAGTAGAGCTCAGAAAAACTCACCCAGAAGTTTTTGGGCATAGGAGTAGAATTTGGGTTTAGAGAGCCAGTGTTCTTGAAGTCCAGAGATGGAACATTCAGGAAAATGCAGAGTACCATTTTGGTGGCTGGTTTCAGGACTGCAGTTGGTTTCAGGATTGCTATGTATCTGATAGTGAATGGCACAGGCCTTTGTGCCCAGGCCAGATCAGTGTGTCCGATGGAGTTGTGGTGG